ATGAAAGGTTTGCACAAATTTGTCGCTTAGACAACACTAGTATTAAACGCCATAAATCAAGGTGGCACTGTCCCCCCAAAAGCGAAAGCTGCCGATTTGTCCCGTCAAATTCAATTCAAGTACAGGTGTTAAGAAGGAAATATGATAAGCCGAAAATAATTCAATCTAGTTCTAATACAAACAAGCAAGCACCTCGTCAAGCTCCTCAGCCTCTCCTCACTGAAATTGGGGAGATAGAGTCGTTATGTGATGTTGAAACAAGGCAGCTCAATGACAAGAAAGGCCAAGATATCTCTGAGCTGCAGCAGTCGAAAGACGAAGGAGACGATTCTGATTCGATTGGCAGTTCATCAGCCTCTACAACAGTGAAAATGCAGTCAACCTTACTCCAGTCTGGTACATGTCAATCAGATAACGATAGAACGCCTGTCACTTTGGAGAAAGTTATGGAAGCAATTCAGAATCTGAATATTAAGGTTGACGACATAGCAAAGAAGCATTCCTCACTTGCACATTTGGCCTGTGAAGACAGTGAGACGTCTAAAGCTATACGTCGCCTAAAATCAGCGGAAAATATTATTCAGATTGCTGAAGCAACCAATCTTCTGGAATGGTTTTATGACGAGGATGAAGAGACGGGGATACTATGCTGTTTACCTTGTTTCCAACTGTACATGGCCTCCAGGCCAAATCTCGCAAATCTAACGCCTCTAAGAGCTCAACGCCTTTTATCCTCCAGCAGTAGTGGAACATTTGCGACAGGTATCTTGTTGAAGAAGGAAACAACGCGTCTTCTTATACAAGGCCATAATTCGAGATGGTATACACAGAAGAATTCATGTTTAGAGCACTTGTGTCTAATCGGAACTGGGTCTAATATTCATAAGAAAGCGATGGATGAATATAAGCGGAATTTGCAAATCGAGCAACGGAGATCAACCACAGCAATGAATATCTTTCGTTCTGTGATAGCTGATTTGAAACTTGGTGCAGCTGCTCAGCATGTAGAAACATTAATTTCCTTGCTCACATCATGTTCTGTAAATGTTGGCCATATCGGGCATTGTAGAAAGAACGTCAAAGACATTCTTTACTGCCTTGAGAAGACTGTTAATGGCAGAATACTCAAGTGGTTAAGTATGCCTCTCCCATCAACGATGATTCCACCACATTATTGGGCAACCATCGACAAGAGCACACCAAGTAGAACAACAAACCAAGCTACCCTCATCGTAGCACGCAATGAAAACGGCATTCCGAATCCAATTCCTGTGGCAGCTCCTCCAGTGTACTCAGAGTTTGATGTTGCTTCTTACGAGAAGATGGCAGAGATGCTGCTGAAAGTTATTCAAGATAATTTTTCAACTGATTTGCTGGCTAGATTGTGTGCTGTTTCCGCAGATGGGCCATATCAAGCAAATGGCTTCCGTGGCAAACTTTTGGAGAAACTGGGGATTGAAGATAACGAACTTGCTTTACCCGTAATATGGGATGCTGCACACGTACTAAATTTGGCTGTACTAGATGTCAAAGACTCGAACACTGACAGCGGTCAACACTTCCGAAGATTCATAAAACGTTGCAATGTATTTAATACTATCCTAGCAAATGGTAAAGGGTTTGCTTTTCTTCAACTGACTGATTCTTCTGCAAGACGACCAGTTTCATATGCTTGTCAAAGGTTCACGAGTTCATCTTACGAACAGTGGGAAAAAATTGAGAAGAGCTTCGCTTCCTACTGGCAGGCGTTTGATCTTCTTTACCCCCCTAGATGCGAAGACGAGGAATATCAGTATATGATTGCAGGGTCGGATTTTATCATGGATCTTCTCGCATTCCTAGACACGATGAAGCCGGTTGTTGATTTGATGCTCCGGGTGCAGTCTTTAGACACGCCTGTATGGAAGCTCAAGCTTTGGTGGCCAAGCATTAAAGGTTTGATGGCAAAGGCCTCCAATGAATATCCCGTTTCACTTCCAAAGTTAAATAAAGTGATGGGATCACTCAAAGCAGGCTGTACATATAACGCAGTGACCCTTCTACCGGGCTGGTTAATTACAAATGTCGAAGGGCGTGGCGGGAATAAAACTTACACATGGTCGTTACGAGATGACGAGGATATAGAGAATGATCATGTCCAATTCGCCAAGGATTTGATGACAGCCGTGGAGAACAGGCAAGTTAAAACTTAAAACCTGTAAGGCCCATTTACACTTGCAATTTTCGCTGCGATTTCTAGTGCGATTTTCGTCTTCTGATCAGGGTCTTAGCTAGGATTTTAGATCTTGGGCGTGTTTCTAATGACCAGGGCGTGCACATGTCAATTACCTTGAATAGCAAAATCATGGTTCTAGTTATGCTCACCAACAAACAATGCTTGTGGTTGTTCTATGCTTTGCAACCAAATACAAGGCGAGCCATACGCTCATATTGCCCACTGACATTAAAATATTGAGTTATTTTCAGCAAATCTTGGGGGTATTTAAAACCATTTTAACACCATACAGTTCCCATTATCCATCAAAATATTAAAACATCGCGAATCACTTTTGCCAATTCAACAACAACAGTAGATTTTACAAACTTTCTTACGACGTAAATACAAAGAAATTCTGTCTGTTGTAAGTAGCATGCACCACCTTATTTTATGAACCTACACAGCCTTATATAAATAGTGAAGCCGCGTTCATTTTCGCCGTGCGAGGGTACTAATTCCCCCAGGCTATTTACACCCGGGGAAACGAAAGCATTAGCGAAGTCTAAAGTTCATCAAATATCGCGGGCGTGGCTCACCAACGATGTTTCTGTGGGTGGTCATCCTCACTGATCTCAAAATATGTGGCGGACTGTCATGAATAGCGAAAACAGATTGGTCCAATTTAAAGTTTGCATTATAACGACTGCATGACGACAGCGAAATAGCAAACATTTCTTGATTTGATGATTGATAAATTTCTTGCAAATATCAAATATTCATTTTTGCTCGCATTTTTGCAAGATTTTGTAAATTTCAAGAAAGAAAGGGCAAAAGAATCGGCTAAAAGAAGTGAGCCGACGTTAACGAAGGTAAGTTTGTTTTAAATATTGATTTTATAATGGATTTTGGTATATGAAACAACTAAACAAGACAGCATATTATTTCAGTGTATCTTATATTGATTCCCTTTTTTATGATATTGAATTTTTTAAATAAAAAAGAAAGCAGAGTTATTTGCAAGCGAGAATTTGAAGTAATTTTATTGCAAACTCAAAGTTTATCGATAAAGCTATTTTAAAGGCAGTTTAGTTTTATAAAGAACACTAGTGAGTTTAAAACGTTTTGCGAAGCTTTTGTGGTTGCATTTTACCTTAAATTGAGGCTTATATTACGTATAATAACATACCTAACATATATATGTTGGGAAATTAATAATTTTGTAATTAAAAGTGATATTTTTTAGGCGATTTTTCATTTGTATTAAGAATATTCTTAAAAAATTATCATGTTACCATGACAATTAACTACTTCAGATACTTCATGTTCGGAAAATACAATGGTTTTGTCTGTTTGTCAGCAAGGCGAGGGTTACTGCATGCATGTTTTTTCTAGTATCTAGCCGTGTTTTTCCACTTTTGGCCGCAATAACACGGCCAACACGGCCCTCTAGCTAAGACCCTGCTTCTGATGCATGTGAACGAGTAGATGAGTTATGAATGATATAAGTATCTGTACTCTCATCTGAACATTCAGAACTTATCTACTCATTCACATCCATTAGACGAAGAAAATCGCACTAGAAATCGCAGCTTAAATTGCAAGTGTAAACGGGCCTGTACAGTATACCTGCATCATTACCAGGTGCATCTATTCTCTCATCTGTTTCATCACCAGTACTTCCTTCAAATTAAAAATTATGGGGATTTAATTTTAATACAGTATACATTCTGACATACAAATTACAAACCTTCAGTTGTATTAGCTGGAGTTAATAAGGTTATCTGAAATTCTGCTTATTTTTTCAGGTACAGTAGTAAAATTCCTACCCACTGCAGCAAGTGTACTGTATGCCTGTTTTTTC